AGACGGAGACAGAAACACAGGAGGCTCATTGATGTCTATATTTGACCTTTCTTCTGGGATCCTCTTCAGCAGATACACAAGTGAATGGTGAACATAATTATGTGAGAAAAGTTGCAGCCTCACCTTGCTGGGGAGTAGGGAATGTCAGGTGGACGCCTGGAAGGACAGGTCAAGGAGGGAGGGAGTGGGAAGCCAGGTCCTCTAGAAACATGTGGAGCATTTAGGTATCTTTATTACCGAAACGTATCGCCTGCACAACAGGCTTCTTCAGTCGAATATAAGCGAATATAACACTGGAGGCAGTAGTAGTAGTTAGATCTGCCTAACATATGTTGTACTCGTTATCATGGGCCAGTAATCCTACTGCATTGCTTCTCCATTCTTGTGTTCTTCAGAACATAAGCGCATATGAAAGGTTTGCACAACTGTAGGCCTACTGGCCTATGCTAGGCAGGTCTAACTCACACCCACTCATGTACTTTCCAACTTATTTTAGAGCTACACAAGGTTTTAGTTTAGTAACACTACTCGGGAGTTTGTTCCACTCATCTACATACTAAACCAGTGCTTCCCTATATCCTTTCTAGCCTTTCCAATGTGAACCCATTGTTGCACGTTATTTATATCCCCTGTATTTAATTGCCTTCCATTTATACACGTCTGTTATATCCTCTCCAATTCTACGTCTTACTAGAGAATGTAGATTAGGTGCCGTCAGTCTATCCTCGTAGAAAGAATGTTTCGTACATGGGATCAACTTTGTCATCTTTTTCATTAAGTTAATGATGCATTTGTGAAACATCTGGGTATCTTTATTGTGGAAACGTTTCGCTTATCAACCGCTTCCTCAGTCCAACACAAAGAAGAATTGTGGGAGATGAAAAAGAGTCTGAGGTAATCAGTCTCTCAGTCTGGAGTCGATGTGTTCGGTCCATCAATCTTGGTAAATGTACATTATATACTGCAGACTGTCGTCAGTATGTAAGTCCCTTCTCCGTTCATATATTGTACACTTACTGTCTGTCCCACCAGGCTTAGGGACTGATTACCTCCAGCCTCTTTTCATCTCCCACCATTCTTATCTGTGTTGGACTGTGGACCCCTCTCTTAGCACTATTAGATCTGTAGCTGTCCTGGACATAACTAGCAGCTCCTTTCTCCTGCTCTCTCCAATATCATTCCCACCAGCACTGAAGCAGATAATGGGCTTGTTCCCATTATCTGACATGATATTATCCAACCTGTTGACTATGTCAACAACACCAGCTCCAGGGAAACACATCCTCTGTCTCACCTTCCTATTTCCGTTACAGAAAGCACGGTCCAAAGATCATGTGAATGACAGACCAGAATGATATTCTTACCTTTATGAACAGAGCACTTAGTGGTACCTTTATCCTCACTGACCAATGAAGTACATTCGTTCTGGAGAACAGAGAAGCAATTTGCTATCTTCAAGTCTTTTCTCTTAACCTTATTTTAATGTTTCTTCTTATACTGGGAAATACTTTTTACTCGTAACGGCGGCCAATCTGTTCCTCGCTGATGGTAACCTGTTTCCCTTCACTAACCCCAACCACCTCACATTTGTTGCTATACTTATCCAGGCGAATTTTCAGTTTCTTATTTTCCTCCTCAAGAAAAACATCCTTCAAAGCCTTGACCTCCGACTCTTAAGCACTACAGAAACAAGCCATAGAACTCTGTCACTCCATAATAATCCCCTTGACAGCTCGCAATCTCTCGTGACCACTAACTTCAGCGGAGATAAATGGTATAAAATACAGACACAATGAAAAAATAAACACGAATACAGTATAATGCGATCCTTTATTGAGCACGTTTCTCCCATACAGTGGACTTTATCAGGTCACAAACAGAGCTACCTGGGTAAAGATATTCATGCTCATGTAGGTTTGTCAGGACGAGTCCTGGCCCGGATCTTTTCCACACGGTGACACGGCAGTGGCTACTGAAGGAGTGTCGGAGTATGTACATGTGATGTACCGTTTACAGCCCAATGGCAGGGGCAGCCCTATGACAAGGGCACGGTGAGCCATACAAGAGAGTGTGTGTGTGTATATATATATATATATATATATATATATATATATATATATATATATATATATATATATAATATATATATATATTTTATATATATATATATATATATATATATATATATATATATATATATATATATATATATTCTTGACGTGACTCTCCGCCCTATATATACTCTCGTACTCTTTACCCAGAGCAAAACCCTGATCGCTGCCACAGAACAGCTGAATTAGACCGACATCTTCAAGATCCTCAGACGCGTCATCTTAGGATTAAGACCTGTGTCAGGACGCAGTTCCTGATGAATAAAACAAATAAGTCACCCAGGTAGATCTGTTTGTGACTTGATAAAACCCACTGGGCGAAACGTTGTCAATAAAGGTTCGCATTATTACTGCATTTGAGTTTACTTTTCCACCATTGACCTCAGTGAAAGTCTCCACCCACAGGGGTGACAGCCAACTGTGCGAACCCTGGGGAAACAAACTCCGAGATTCTGAATGCTCATCTCCTGAGTCTCAGGATCTGTGCTATCAAGATTTTCTTCGTCACTGTCTGCAAGGTATGGTACCCCATCATCATGGATTTATTTTCCACCTCATTACCATCAATTTTCCAACCCATTAACATATTTATTTTTCACACCATTACCATAGATTTAAGTGGAGATGTTTTGTGTAAAATCTTAAGTGGATTTAAATGTTTAACCTAAACATCAGTGTTTATATAGTGGGAGTAAAAACAGCGTGTGTAAATATATAGCAGTGGCTGGAGTGAATATTTGGTGCAAATACTGCCTATCCCGACCTATTTCCTATCTACCTATCCCCGTCTATTCCCTATCTACCTGTCCCAACCTATTCCCTCTCTACCTATCACAACCTATTCACTATCTACCTGTCCCTATATGTTCTCCATCTACCTATGTCTATCGTCTACTCTAGGATCCAGAGTTGGGAGCAAAAACTTCCATCTATCTAGCTGTGGCGGAGGAAGTAGATGGAGTGAGCGGACGATACTTCGCAGAGTGCAAGGTATGTAAAAGGAGGGAGGGAGGGAGGGAGGGAGGGAGGGATGGAATGTGGGGAGAGGGAGGGAAGGAGTGAGTCAAATAATGAAGGAGGGAGGGAAGGAAAGAAGGAAGGAGTAACTGAAGTGGGCAAGGAAGGATGGACGGAGGGAAGGAAGGAGTGAAGGAAGGAAGGAAGGAAGGAAGGAAGGAAGGAAGGAAGGAAGGAAGGAAGGAAGGAAGGAAGGAAGGAAGGAAGGAAGGAAGGAAGGAAGGAGTGAAGGAAGGAAGGAGTGAAGGAAGGAAGGAGTGAAGGAAGGAAGGAGTGAAGGAAGGAAGGAGTGAAGGAAGGAAGGAGTGAAGGAAGGAAGGAGTGAAGGAAGGAAGGAGTGAAGGAGGAAGGAGTGGAAGGAAGGAAGGAAGGAGTGAAGGAAGGAAGGAGTGAAGGAAGGAAGGAAGGAAGGAAGGAAGGAAGGAAGGAAGGAAGGAAGGAAGGAAGGAAGGAAGGAAGGAAGGAGGGAAAAAAGGAAGGAGTGAAGGAAGGAAGGAGTGAAGGAAGGAAGGAGTGAAGGAAGGAAGGAGTGAAGGAAGGAAAGAGGGGGAGGAAGGAAGGAGTGAAGGAAGGAAGGAGTGAAGGAAGGAAGGAGTGAAGGAAGGAAGGAGTGAAGGAAGGAAGGAGTGAAGGAAGGAAGGAAGGAGTGAAGGAAGGAAGGAGTGAAGGAAGGAAGGAGTGAAGGAAGGAAGGAAGGAGTGAAGGAAGGAAGGAGTGAAGGAAGGAAGGAGTGAAGGAAGGAAGGAGTGAAGGAAGGAAGGAAGGAGTGAAGGAAGGAAGGAGTGAAGGAAGGAAGGAGTGAAGGAAGGAAGGAAGGAGTGAAGGAAGGAAGGAGTGAAGGAAGGAAGGAGTGAAGGAAGGAAGGAGTGAAGGAAGGAAGGAGTGAAGGAAGGAAGGAAGGAGTGAAGGAAGGAAGGAGTGAAGGAAGGAAGGAGTGAAGGAAGGAAGGAAGGAGTGAAGGAAGGAAGGAGTGAAGGAAGGAAGGAGTGAAGGAAGGAAGGAGTGAAGGAAGGAAGGAGTGAAGGAAGGAAGGAGTGAAGGAAGGAAGGAGTGAAGGAAGGAAGGAGTGAAGGAAGGAAGGAGTGAAGGAAGGAAGGAGTGAAGGAAGGAAGGAGTGAAGGAAGGGAAAGGAGTGAAGGAAGAAGGAGTGAAGGAAGGAAGGAGTGAAGGAAGGAAGGAGTGAAGGAAGGAAGGAGTGAAGGGGTAATAAGAGTCTCATTACCTTAATTACATAATATCTACTCGTTAATCATAATTAATGAGAGTAATTAATGATCTATGTTCTTGATCCCAGGAAGCTGAGCCGTCTCAACTAGCCCAGCAGAAGCATCTAGCCCAGCAACTGTGGAAGGCCAGTGAAGTGGCTGTTAAACTTCAACCCCACGAGAAGCACTACTAGCTAGCTCTTTACTAGCCCAGCTAGCTCTTTACTAGTCCAGCTAGCTCTTTTCTAGCCCAGCTAGCTCTTTAGTATACCAGCTAGCTCTTTTCTAGCCCAGCTAGCTCTTTAGTATATCAGCTAGCTCTTTACTAGCTCAGCTAGCTCTTTTCTAGCCTGACTAGCTCTTTACTAGCTTGGCTAGCTCTTTACTAGCCCAACTAGGTCTTGACTAGCATGGCTAGACCTTTACTAGTCCAGCTAGCTCTGTACTAGCCCAGCTAGGCCTTTACTACCCCAGCCAGCTCTGTACTAGGCCCAGCTAGCTCTTTACTAGCCTCGATAGCTCTTTACTAGCCCAGGCAGCTCTATACTAGCCCAACCAGGTCTTTACTAGCCCTGCTATCTCTTTATTAGCCCACCTAAGTTTTTACTAGAACATAAGAATGGAAGAACACTGCAGAAGGCCTACTGCCCCATACTAGGCAGGTCCTTCTCCAAACCATCTATTCTCAGCCTATTTTTTGCTTAACCTTTTCACAAAGCTATTCAGGGTCCTAGCTTCTATTAGCTTACTAGATAGATTGTTCCACCACCATCTAGTCAGCTATTAGCACAACATTCTCTACCTTCTAGCTAACTACTACTACTGTAATATATCTTCTAGCAAGCAACTAGCACAGTAGTCTACCTTCTAGCCAGCTACTAGTACAGTAGTCTACCTTCTAGCCAGCTGCTAGTACAGTAGTCTTCCTTCAAGCCAGCTACTAGTACAGTAGTCTACCTTCTAGCCAGCTACTAGTACAATAGTCTACCTTCTAGCCAGCTGCTAGTGCAGTAGTCTACCTTCTAGCCAGCTACTAGTACAGTAGTCTACCTTCTAGCCAGCTGCTAGTACAGTAATCTACCTTCTAGCCAGCTGCTAGTACAGTAGTCTACCTTCTAGCCAGCTACTAGTACAGTAGTCTACCTTCTAACCAGATGCTAGTACAGTAGTCTACCTTCTAGCCAGCTGCTAGTACAGTAGTCTACCTTCTAGCCAGCTGCTAGTACAGTAGTCTACCTTCTAGCCACCTGCTAATACAGTAGTCTACCTTCTAGTCAGCTACTAGCACAGTAGTCTACCTTCTAGCCAGCTGCTAGCACAGTAGTCACTACCTTCTAGCCAGCTGCTAGTACAGTAGTCTACCTTCTAGCCAGCTGCTAGTACAGTAGTCTACCTTCTAGCCACCTGCTAATACAGTAGTCTACCTTCTAGTCAGCTACTAGCACAGTAGTCTACCTTCTAGCCAGCTGCTAGCACAGTAGTCACTACCTTCTAGCCAGCTGCTAGTACAGTAGTCTACCTTCTAGCCAGCTGCTAGTACAGTAGTCTACCTTCTAGCCACCTGCTAATACAGTAGTCTAACTTCTAGTCAGCTACTAGCACAGTAGTCTACCTTCTAGCCAGCTACTAGCACAGTAGTCTACCTTCTAGCCAGCTGCTAGTACAGTAGTCTACATTCTAGCCACCTGCTAATACAGTAGTCTACCTTCTAGCCAGCTACTAGCACAGTAGTCTACCTTCTAGCCAGCTGCTAGTACAGTAGTCTACCTTCTAGCCACCTGCTAATACAGTAGTCTACCTTCTAGTCAGCTACTAGCACAGTAGTCTACCTTCTAGCCAGTTACTAGCACAACAGTGCAAATGCAATATGAGGTGTGCAATAATTGATTTGTGATTTGCATATTCGTAATTAATTAATGGAGAGAGAGAAAAAGAGAGACAGACAGACAGACAGACAGACAGACAAACAGACAGAAAGAGCGAAAGAGAAGGAGAGAGAGAGAGAGAGAGAGAGGAGAGAGAGAGAGAGAGAGAGAGAGAGAGAGAGAGAGAGAGAGAGAGAGAGAGAGAGAGAGAGAGAGAGAGAGAGAGAGAGAGAGACAGAGACAGAGAGAGAGAGACAGAGAGAAAGAGAGAGAGAGAGAGAGAGAGAGAGAGCTAACTTGTAAAACTGATTTTAATTAAAATAATGTACCCTAATTTCCCTCTGTATAATAATTAATAACTTGAATAAACATTAAATTAATTTGGAAACAAATTTATTTCAACATTAAAATCTAATTGTTTATTTTTTAATGTAACTTCATTGTCTCCATTTTTTATGCAACATGACGTCAAAATCTGTATTTTTAAGCAACAAGACGTCAAAATCTGTATTTTTAAGCAACAAGACGTCAAAATCTGTATTTTTAAGCAACAAGACGTCAAAATCTGTATTTTTAAGCAACAAGACGTCAAAATCTGTATTTTTAAGCAACAAGACGTCAAAATCTGTATTTTTATGCGACATTATGTAAAAAAAAACTCCATTTTTATGCAACATGACGTAAAAAATGTGAATTTATATGCAACATGACGCAAAAAAATATTTGCATACACCATCACGTAAAAATCTAAAAAAATTCCTCCATTTGTCAAAATACTTTTTTTTCCAAACAGATTTAAAATATGTATTATTTCATACACAAGTGCCATACACGAGCGTTAATACTTAGTGCCAGTAACCATACACAAGTGCCATACACGAGCGTTAATACTTAGTGCCAGTAACCATACACAAGTGCCATACACGAGCGTTAATACTTAGTGCCAGTAACCATACACAAGTGCCATACACGAGCGTTAATACTTAGTGCCAGTAACCATACACAAGTGCCATACACGAGCGTTAATACATAGTGCCAGTAACCATACACAAGTGCCATACACGAGCGTTAATACTTAGTGCCAGTAACCAAACACAAGTGCCATACACGAGCGTTAATACATAGTGCCAGTAACCATACACAAGTGCCATACATAGTGCCAATAGCCTAATTTTGGTTAATATAAATCCAAGAACGTGGTCGCGTATTCTAGATGATGTTCTCCAAGATATAAATAATAGACTTGAATAATCTCGGGACGTCTCTTGCGAGATTTAAAGTGACGTCCACAGATGCAGAGACACGTCATTAACTTGCGACGGTCACACAGTGGGAAGAAACACTAGCTATGTTTCCCTATTACATCACATAGGATGGGCCGCTGTGTTGTAATGTGTCAGCCTGAGCTTAGAGACTTCAGTAATGTCAGCCTGGATTGAAAGACTTCATAGTGTCAGCCTTAGCTGGGATACATCACTAGTGTCAGCCTGAGGAAGGACCACGAGATAAATCTTCTAAGCATGGCAGCCCAAAATGCTACTGGAACAACACTGCGGTATATCTCGTACCTGCTAGCCATCAGAAGATTCAGAATTCTGTACGAGGCAAAAGTATGTGTGAGTGTGGGTGTATGAACACACACTCACCCACATATTATGTTGTTTTCTCTTATTACTTTGATAGTAAGGTTCTCACTACAGGTTCTAGTGTGGGGTAGCTTTTACATAAAGGCCTTATATGTCTAGGGTAGTACTTATATGTATGATTATATGTATTTTTTTTTTATTAACACATCGGCCGTCTTCCACCAAGGCAGGGTGGCCCGAAAAAGAAAAACTTTCACCATCATTCATTACGTCACTGTCTTGCCAGATGTATGCTTACACTACAGTTTTTAAACTGCAACCTTAACACTCCTCCTTCAGTGTGCCGGCACTGTACTTCCCATCTCATGGAATCAAGTCCGGCCTGCCGGTTTCCTTGAATCCATTCATAAATGTTACCTTGCTTACACTCCAACAGCACATCAAGTCCTAAAAACCATTTGTCTCCATTTGCTCCTATTTAACACGCTCACGCACGCTTGCCCCTCGCACACAAAACTTCCTTGACCCCCCCTCCTTCCAACCTTTCCTAGGCTGACCCCTACCCCACCTTCCCTCCACTACAGATTGATACACTTTCGAAGTCATTCTATTTTGTTCCAGCCTCTCTACATGTCTAAACCATCTCAACAACTCCTCCTCAGCCCTCTGGATAATAGTTTTGGTTATTCCACACCTCCTAATCTCCAAACTACAGATTCTCTGCATTATATTCACACCACACATTGCCCTCAGACATGACATCTCCACTGCCTCCAGCCTTCTCTTTGTTGCAACATTCACAACCTATGCCTCACACCCATATAAGAGCGTTGGTATAACTATACTCTCATACATTCCCTTCTTTGCTTTCATGGATAAAGTTCTTTGTCTCCACAGACTCCTAAGTACATCACTCACCCTTTTCCCCTCGTCAATTCTATGATTCACCTCATCCTTCATAGACCCATCTGCTGACACGTTCTGAATGTTGGACAGGTAAATAACCATGCCACATATAAACTAAATAATGTAGATCTTAATACTACTGATTGCGAAAAGGATTTAAGAGTTCTGGTTAGCAGTAATCTAAAACCAAGACAACAGTGCATTAGTGTTCGCAATAAAGCTAAAAGAATTCTTGGCTTCATATCTAGAAGTATAAATAATAGAAGTCCTCAGGTTGTTCTTCAACTCTATATATCCTTGGTTAGGCCTCATTTAGATTATGCTGCTCAGTTCTGGTCACCGTATTACAGAATGGATATAAATGCTCTGGAAAACGTACAGAGGAGGATGACAAAGATGATCCCATGTATCAGAAATCTCCCCTGTGAGGACAGATTGAGGGCCCTGAATATGCGCTCTCTCGAAAGGCGTAGAATTAGGGGGGATATGATCGAAGTGTATAAATGAAAAACAGGAATAAATAAAGGGGACGTAAATAGCGTGCTGAAAATTTCCAGCCAAGACAGGACTCGCAGCAATGGTTTCAAGTTGGAAAAATTCAGATTCAAGAAGGATATAGGAAAGCACTGGTTTGGTAATAGAGTTGTGGATGAGTGGAATAAACTCCCGAGTACAGTTATTCAGGCTAAAACGTTGTGTAGTTTTAAAAATAGGTTAGATAAATACATGAGTAGGTGTGGGTGGGTGTGAGTTGGACCTGACTAGCTTGTGCTGCTGGGTCTGGCGTCGTGCTCCTTCCTTGAATGGAGGTGACCAGACTGGGTGGGTCATTGAGCTAATCCGGGGGGGTGGGTCATGGGGTTAATCCGGGGGGAGACATGGACTTGCTCCGCATGGGTCAGTAGGCCTGTTGCAGTGTTCCTTCTTTCTGATGTTCTTACGTTCTTAAATATCTGAACACATTCACCTCCTCCATACTCTCTCCTTCCAATCTGATATTCAATCTTCCATTACCAAATTTTTTTGTTCTCATCACTTTACTCTTTCCTATATTCACTTTTAAATTTCTTCTTTTACATAACCTACCAAACTCATCAACCAACCTTTGCAAATTCTCTTCAGAATCTCCCAAAAGCACAGTGTCATCAGCAAAAAGCAGCTGTGACAACTCCCACTTTATGTTAGATTCTTCATCTTTTAACCCCACACCTCTTGCCAACACCTGAGCATTCACTTCTATTAAAACTTCATCTATTAATATATTGAACAACCACGGTGACATCACACATCCTTGTCTAAGGTCTACTTTTACTGGGAAATAATCTCTCTCTCGCCTACATACTCTAATCTGAGCCTCACTATCCTCGTAAAAACTTTTCACCGCTTTCAATAACCTACCTCCTATTCCATACTTTTGCAACATCTGTCATATTGCCCCCCTATCCACCCTATCATACGCCTTCTCCAAATCCATAAATGTCACAGAGACCTCTTTACCCTTGTCTAAATACTGTTCACCTATATGTTTAACTGCAAACACTTGGTCTACACACCCCCTACCCTTCCTAAAGCCTCCTTGTTCATCTGCTATCCTTCTATCCATCATACTCTTAATTCTTTCAATAATGCACTTTACCAGGTATACTCAACAGAATTATTCCCCTGCAATTTATACGCACTCTTTTGTCCCCTTTGCTTTTATACAAAGGAACTATGCACGGACTCTACCAATCCCTAGGTACCTTACCCTCTTCCATATATTTATTAAATAATTACACTAACCACTCCAAAACTATATCCCCACCTGCTTTTAACATTTCGATCTGTATACCATCAATCTCAGCTACTTTACCCCCTTTCATTCTACTCACTGCCCCATGCACTTCCCCCACACTCACAACTGGATCATCCTCACTCCTACAAGATGCTATTCCTCCTTGCCCTATAGACGAAATCGCAGCTTCCCTATCTTCATCAACATTTAACAATTCCTCAAACTATCCCCTTCATCTTCCCAATTCCTATAACTCCCCATTTAATAACTCTCCTCTCCTATTTTTTACTAGCAAATCTATTCTTTCCCTAGGCTTTCTCAACTTATAAATCTCACTCCAAAACTTTTTCTTATTTTCAATGAAATTTGTCGATAACATTTCACCCACTCTCTCATTTGCTCTCTTTTTACATTCCTCCTCCACTCTCTTAACCTCTCTTTTTCTCTCCATATACTCCTCCCTCCTTGCATCACATCTACTTGTAAAAACCTCTCACATGCTAACTTTTTCTCTCTTACTACTCTTTACATCATCATTCCACCAATTGCTCTTCTTCCCTCCCACACCCACTTACCTGTAACCACAAACTTCTGCTGAACACTCTAACACTATATTATTAAACTTACTCCATACATCTTCAACCCCATTGCCTATTCTCTCACTAGCCCATCTGTCCTCTCAACAGTTGTTTATATCTTACCCTGACTGCCTCCTCCTTTACATAAGAACATAAGAAAGAAGGAACACTGCAACAGGCCTACTGGTCTATGTGAGGCAGGTCCAATTCTCCCAACGGCTTAAGCTTACTGACCTAGTGACCTTAAACTCACTTACCGTCTGACCTCATTGACCTAGTGAGATCAGGCACGTCACTTCTTACTT